TGGATTATTGCCTTAAGCAATTGTGCAATATCTGAAGAAATGGTTCAGTTTGGATCACTATTGCATATAGCTGTCATACAAACTAACCGTTCAACATCAAGATACATGTCTTTTTATAGTCTTTTATGCTATAAGAAATGAACATGTGAAGGGTATCATACCTTCGATGCAGCCGAAGTTAACGTTTTTCCTCATCATATACGAAAATATCAAGTACGCTAGTCACCGAGTACCAGCGCCACTCGATCTGAAAACTCCAGTTTCTAGAAAATAGTTGACTTCACTTCGAGTTAAAGAAGAAAAAAATATGCTCACTATGCCACCTACTACATAATTTTATTAAGACTTTACTTTTAATCGATGTTTTCGTAATTCTACACTGGTTTAACACCTTACAAAAAGTAGGAGCTGCGTTTGAGCTGCAAACTTTGTACCTCCCTTAACTTTTCAAAACTTCAAAGTGTATATTCTCATATAAGTATATATATTTTTAAGGATTCCTTAAACAAAAAAAATGTTTTCTGGCTTAAAGTCGTTCACTTCGCCGCCTTTTCGCTGCCTCCAACAGCACTTAAAGCCACATGCGCTCATCTGCATACAGGTATACATACATACATATATATATACGTCCATACGTTAATACATTTATGTATACATGCTCATCCGTCAAGGATCATCATACAAATATACATGTGTCAAGTGTTTTCTTTTTGCTTCAACAGTTCGGCCAAATGAAATCAAATCAAATAAATTAAATCTAAGAAAAAATCAGACTGAAGTGTTTATTATTGTTCTTGTTTTGGTTGTTTACATAAAATTTCAGAATAAAATCAGAACGTGAAATGTGTACACTAAGCAACAACAACAAAAAATATGTAGCCAGACAATTGCTCTCATCAACTCCTTCGTGCACCTTTTGCTGCTCGCCACAAGTTAAGTGCTGCTTCGTATGTTTGTGTTTCGTGCAGCGATTTGACGACTCGTCGTCTTCAACTGCTAGTGTTTGAAGAGTAAAGTTTTTCTCTTGCCACCCGCCTGTGTTGCTCCAGCCAATATTTTTTTATTCCATCTTTATTTCACTTGATTGCGTCTAGCTTTATGTTCATTGCGCTCTACCACTTCCTCTAAGCTTCTCATTTTAGTGTTGTAAAAAATAAAAATTGTTGTATTTTGTTGTTGTTATTTGCTCTATTATTTTCGTTCTTCTTTTATGTTTTAAAAATCGTAACTGATTGTGGTTTGTTGACAGATGATTTTCTTTTGGAATCTTAACTAGATCCGGTAAATAAGTATTATGTAACTCTTTTTATTATTTTCGATAAGCTTTAGACCTTAAAACATGTATCAGTCATTAAAATTTAATCTTATTCTTCTTTATTGGCGTAGACACGGCTTTTGCGATTATAGTCGCAATACTATAATATAGCCAGTCGTTCTTCCTTTTCGCTGTTAGGCGCTAATTGGAGATTCTAATTATAGCCAAGTCCTTCTTCACCTAGTTTTTCCAAAGAAGTGAAGATCGTCCTCTTCCTCTGCTTCCCCCGGCGTATACAGCGTCGAATATTCTCAGGGCTGGAGCGTTTTCTTCCAATCGAAAGACATGATCTAGCCAGCGTAGCCGCTGTCTATTAATCCGCTGAACTACGTCAATGTCGTCGTATACATCTCAGCTAGCTCATCGTTTCATCGAGTGCGGTATTTGCCGTTCCCAATGCAAAAAGAACCATAAATCTTCCGTCAAAACCTTTTTCTCGAAAACTCGTAACGCCGATTCATCAGATGCTGGATGATGTGGACGATGGTCCATGCCTCCGCACCATATAGCGGACTCGTTGAGTTTGGTCTTTGTTCGTCAAGAGAGGACTACTTCTCAGTTGCATACCCAGTCCGAAGTCGGACCTGTTGGCCAGAGTTATTCTGGGAGATTGAAAATTTATTGATTTTGAGATTTATTTTATATCGAGAGTTTGGACGACGCCATTTGTATACGAAATTAAAATTTTCATCCAAAAAATTTGCCTTTTGATAATTTCAAAGAACTGTTGGGAAATCACAGAAGTATTTCTTAAATCGAAATTGAAGTCACTGAACACTGCAACGCTGATGAGCTTTCAAGAAACAGAACTTCCCGTATTCCGCTAACCTCCTGCGCTCTAGCCCACGCTCCAGCTGCTTGCGGGTACTCATAAAGCGTTGGTTAACAACTGATACTTATACAGCACGTCCCGTCTGGACCAGAGGAGAACCTAGAAGGTTCATTGAGCTATTTCCTCCTAGCTTAGGCAACATGAAACCGCGATTGTAAGAGACCAAACTGCCATTCCTTGTTGTCCAAATTGGTTCCCTTTTTTATTATGTCGCGAGAATGAAAAATTTTCTTGGTGGTTCCAAACATAAGATTCAAGCTACTATAGCCCTTTGAAAAGAGGAATTTTCCTACATCTGATTTCATTGGGGTTCTCATTTTATTTGCCGTCTTCGGAGATATTCTTTTGCGTTTAGAGTGTCCTGAATGTCATTTTGTTGAGATCAGCTTAGGATCTGGCAGCTGACACTACCAACACTATAACACCAAACAACAAATGGACTTTTGGTTGGACGATTGGTTAAATTAAACGACGAAAAGATTGGTTAATTTGAAATAGGTTGGTATGAATTTCTGTGACATTTGGCATAAAATAATCGAATCTAAAATTATGATCAAAATCTTTTTATTTTTTACTCATAGTAAAAGTAAGGTTCGATCAATTTTAACCATATGTTCAAACAAAGTTGTGCTCCCTTATGTTTATATCGTCACCTAAAATGCAAAATAACGTAACATTAATTTTCAAAGGTTTGCATGTAAAACGATTTTATAGAAACCACTCAAAGTGAAACAAAATTTCAGTTTTGATTATAAAATAGTTATATACTGGTTACACTCAAATTGAAACAAAATTTAAGTTTTGGTTATAACATGGTTATATACTGGTTATCATACACTCACATTGAACCAATATTTGAGTTATGAGATGGTTATATATTGATTATTATATCTGACTGCGATTTTAATTTCTTTTGATGATGTGCTGTGTTGAATTTTATGTAACGATGTGTAGAATTTAGTTTGTGATAACTCATGTAGTGAGGGAAACGCTCTTCGTTCTCAGTTGTGCTTCTGGAGTTTTGATTTGTTTTGAGTTGAATGTGACAGCTCCTAAGAAAATTCTTTCGATAAATTTTAGCGTTAAAATAGGAAGATAAATCGAAATATTTATTTTTAAAGTAGAATTAAAGCATTTTTGTTAAAAAAAAATATTTTTTTTTTTGAGGCTTTATGAAAGAAGTTGCCGATCGCGAAATTAGGATTATGAAAAGGTTACAGTTTAGATTAAAGATTTCGAAACTAATGGCAATGGACAAGGAAAGCTGATGTTTGCATCTCATCCTTGTACCTTTAAGAATTATTGAAAGTCAAACTAGAAATTGAAAATGAAAATTAATATTCAAAATGATGGCATGACATTATCTGATATAAAATCGCTTCCAAGAAACTTATTTATTCTTACTAACTGATAAACATACCAAAAAAGGAGATTTCGTTGAATACTGGTTCAAAAAATGTTC